GGCACCAAATAGCATTTAACCTTCCCGCGCGTGTTTCGAGGATGTGATATTTCATATTTTTTGAAAAATTCAAAGTAATTCTTCCTAACCAATACAGCACATTCCGGAATATAAATTCCATACAAGGTAGGTATTTTATAGCCTTTAAAGTAACTTCTACAGCTATCAGTATTTTTTAGACCAAAGATTGCTCTTACACACCTCTTCTGTAGTATGAAGATTCTATCTATACCAACACCACGGCCCCAAAAGACAACTCCATATCTTAGCAAGGAATGGACATAAGCATAACATGCACTTAATGCTGCCTCAATGCCAGCTGATCTGGAAATAAGCCGAATGGCAGAGGAGAAATGACTGATCTTACCAGCAAGGAAATCAATATGATTGGTCCAAGACAGTCCAGGATCCATTTTCCAACCCAGAAACGAAATCTCTTCAACATTGGTCAACTGGTCAGAGCATAAATGATAATTAACAATTTTCGTTTTTTTTGTACTTAACTTTATGTTGTGCGCTTCAAACCAATCCGCAAGTTTATTCAGATCCACAGTAAGTGATTTCTGGATTTCATAATCAGTGCTACACCTGGCCACAGTCGTTGTGTCATCCGCAAACATTATCGTAGTGTTGTTCGTTACACGTGATAAGTCATTCACATACAGGAGGAACAATAGAGGACCCAATATGGAACCCTGAGGTACTCCCAGCTTGACTTCTCTCCAAGCTGATCTTATTTCTGTTCCCTGTTCATTGTGGGCAACTACACATTGTAACCTCCCTGATAGATAGGATTTCATCCATGACAAGCTAACACCTCTAAAGCCAAGTCTCTCCAACTTGGTCAATATGTTGTATTTATTTAAATAATGTATAATTCTGTTGTGTACAAGCTTCTCATAAATTTTAGCAAGATTCGATATAAGTGCTATTGGACGATAGTTATCATAGCAGGAGTTGTCTCCTTTTTTATAGATTGGGATTATTACTGTCTTTTTTAACTCATCCGGAAAACAGCCATCAGTGAAGGATGTGTTTATTAATAATTTAATATTAAGTAACTATAAGTAATCTATAAACTGAATGTCCCGCTACGCCCTATTGTCAGTGCTATAATTCTCCAACGTATCAGCTGACGAAACACCTTGCCAAGATTCTGTCTTCTTTTACAAGTAAAACAGAATCATATATTTTATGTCAGAGATTTTACACATTTTGTGGAATCATTCAATGGCATGAAGTTAAATATATCAGAGTACCAGTCAAAAATGCCATGAATGGCCTTCGGTCAAACTCATCCCGGCGGGCTTGCTGTTTATCATCTATATATTTTAGCTGGAAGGGAGAATTTTTCGAGAAATGCGAATGAGAGTCTATCGGCTATCATGCAGTTGTGGGAAGTATTAAGTTAGCCAAACTGGATGTATCATCGAGTACCGTATCAAGGAGCAAGAGAGAGATGTCCGACTGAAGGAGATTCCAGCAGTCGGCAGTTGCAAAGCATTGCCACAAAAAGATTAGCTATTAAAGCTAAGACCAAGGTGCTAGCTAGAGCCAGAAATAATAATAATAATAAAGTAAATAAATAAAGAAGGTGGCTGGGAACTTAGCCGTAATATCTTAGACCTGGTATTAATTTTGTGCCTCCCCAAGAATCCTCGAGGCACACCCTTTTAGGGGTGTGGAACTTGCCTGTTAATAATCTACCCACCTGCGGTTTACTTCCGTACGATTGTTAAATCCTGATAATAAGGGTCAGAGGGGTTGACGCTCTTAACCTTGAGACTTACTCTGTTTGCAGCCGCCCACTCTGAGTTAGACGTTGCAAGATGTATGGTAGGTTTGGACTAGAGTGGACTAGAGCTTCCAATTCCGAGATCTCGGACATAATTGGTGCAGTATTTAAAACCAGTATTTGGTATTAATTTATCGATCCGGCTTTCTGGGGTAGTGGTAGTATTTGCTAAACGGGGTGCTGACGCGCTGTATTACAATTCCAGTTAGGATTTCTTAGAAGCTAGAAGGCACAATTAAGAATTCAGTTTCCAACTCATAAAAATTATTATTTAAATTATTTTAATTAGCTGGTTATAGATAAAAAACGATTTATCGATCATAGAAACGGGGAGCATGAAACATCAGTGGTATCATTTCCTTGTAAAGGTCAATGGACAGATTGCTAACAAAAAAATGTATTGGTGGATTAACTAGTGGTCTTCATGCCCATTTGAAAACAATTCATGAATTTAATGTGAAGAAAAGATGTAAACCCACTACCAACGACACTGATCGTCAAATTATTTCCAAGAAACCAAAACTGATTACCAGCTATTTCAAAAACAAGAAGAATGATGAACTTTCAGAAGTAATGGCTCGTATGACTGCTCAAGATGTTTTGCTATTTCATATTTTTGTTACCTCTCAAAACATCAAAGAAGGTTTACCAGCAAGAGGATTTGCAGATATTGCAAAAACATCAACCACAATACGGAATGCGGTCCTCCTCCACTACGAAAAAATTAAAGATAAAATAACTTCTGAAATATGTACCTAGTTTAAAGTCTAAAGGTACACCATTCAGCATAACATTCGATGAGTAGACTTCAGTTCGTAATTATTAATAGTAATGTGCATTCTAGCGAAGGAACGCGCAATTGGTTCAGTACCAGCAGAAAATTTTTTATCATTGAAGAGAGATATAGAGAGATACTATAAAGATATAGTTAGCATCACCACTGATGATGCAGCTGTTATGATGAAATTAGGAAAACTAATAGATGCTGAAGATCAGTTACGCTTGGCTCATGGTATAAATTTAGCCATAACAGATATTTTCTATAAGACCAAAAGTACAAAAGAAAATGTAGAAAATGGGGAAGCGGAAGGAGAAAGTAGAAATGATGATGATATAGTTGAAGAAGAGTATAACGATTTCAATGATGAAGTAGAAGGAGGTGTCATCATAGAGCATGAGCCTCTCGTGAAAAATATATTAATTTTTACCAAAATATATTAAAGAACAATTATTAGCAGTGTGGCACCTGTAAAAATGACAGTAGATGCGTTATAACGAAGAGATTCAAATATTTGTACTGCTAAGGCTTCACCAAAGTTCATGGTACATAGATAAATATGCTGTGTGAACAAGAAAGTTCAATTGCTTTGGAATTGCTAAATGCATTAAAACTTCGAATATCGCAAAGAATTTCAGATACATCACAAATACTGCAGTACCTGCAAAGGGGACATCAAGAAGAAAATGAGATACTGCAACGTATAACTAAAGTATCCCTAACAAACATGATTTTTCATGGCAATACTTATGTGTTCAATAAAAGAATGCGAAGAATATGAACAAGAAACCAATGGACTTGTCTTGTTATTGCACAAGACAGGAAATCACCAAGACGGAAACTTAGCCAATGCAGGATAAGCACAAAAGCAAACTAACAGCTGCAGAAATGAGGTACCGGGTGGTACAAGATGAGGTACCGAATGATAGACACCCAGAAAGAAGTTGCTGTCAGTATCAAGAACAAAACATACATAACGTTGGCAGAAGAGTAGATACTACTTCTAAAAAACTAAATACTGCTTTCTGAAGACTAGATACTGCTGACAGGTCTCAGTACTGCAAAAGAAAGATAAGATATTGTTGGAGAAAACATACATAATATTGGCAGGAGACTAGATATTGCTTCTAGAAAACTAAACACTGCTTTCTGAAGACTAGATACTTCCGACAGGTCTAAATAGAACGTCTGGAACACTAAATACTGCCTTCTAAAGACCAAAATTGCTTTGTGGAGACTAAATACTGCTTTCTGAAGACTAGATACTGTTAGCAGGTCTAAATACTGCAAAAGAAAGATAAAATATTTTGGAGAAAACATACATAACTTTGGCAAAAGACTAAATACTGCTTTCTGAAGACTAAATACTGCTTTCTGAAGACTAAATACTGCTTTCTGAAGACTAAATACTGCTTTCTGAAGACTAAATACTGCTTTCTGAAGACTAGATACTGCCGACAGGTCTAAATACAGCGTCTGGAACACTAAATACTGCCTTCTAAAGACTAAAATTGCTTTGTGGAGACTAAACACTGCTTTCTGAAGACTAGATACTGCTAACAGGTCTAAATACTGCAAAAGAAAGATAAAATATTTTGGAGAAAACATACATAACTTTGACAAAAGACTAGATACTGCTTCTAGAAGACTAAATACTGCTTTCTGAAGACTAGATACTGCCGACAGTTCTAAATACAGCGTCTGGAACACTAAATACTGCTTTCTAAAGACTAAAATTGCTTTGTGGAGATTAAATACTGCTTTCTGAAGACTAGCTTCTTGCATTCTTCCGTTAAGGGCTCTTTTTTCCTATCATCGTCACCTGTCGCAATCGTTGGAACCTTATAGATATACTGAGATAGTGAATGGAGAATCAATTCTCCAGCAATTCTAATCCCTCCTAGTATTCTTCTCAGAATTCTCGTTTCAAAGGTACTCAGTATGTTTGCCATTTTTTTAAGTTAGGGTCCATATCTTACATCCGTAACTAACCTGATTATCATTTTGTATAAACGTATTTTGTATTTCGATGAATATCCTTTGATCGTTCATGGCGAAAAAAGGTTAATTTCCCATGGTGACTCTTTTCTATTTTGGGTCTTATTTACTCCCAGATATCTTAGCTCTACTTCTTTTATGCAATTAAAAGACATATTGATCAATTACAACAACCTGAGATAAATATCGATTAATTAATATTCAAAACGGATTATATTTTAATAAAAAAAACCTAAAACACTTAAAAATAGTTTCCGCGTATCATTTAAATTTTTTTGGAAGTATATTTTGAACATATATTTTGATAACATTGTATTTTTCTTGTAATATTATATTATTGTCTTTATCGATCCCCTGATAGTGAAAATTGATAAATCATTTTTTCTATTTAATTGATATACTATATAGATTTATAGTTTAAAGAAACATTTCAATTCTGATATGAATCTCGCAGTATAACGTTATTTTGTGATTTTCTCTAAACTATTTCAGTATCGGTGCAATTTTCTATTTATTAAACTATGTCTAAGGAACTGAATCAAGAGTAAGTCATCGACATAATCAATAATCTTCCTAATACGGTTATATTGTTTATTTTTAGAGATATAACAACCGCAACAGATGAAATCCGAATTAGAAGGGCAAAGAAAACATATTATTTCGAAGACATAATAAATCTATCTAATGTTAATGAGCTACCAAACTTTATTATTTCCTCAATAAATTGTTTAAAGCACTGCAACATATACTTGAGTATTTCACCCAGCAGAGGATTATTATCTCATCAATATAAACGAGTGAAGGAGAACATCTTCATAATAACAGATAGAAATAGTAAAGAGGATATAATAAAGGAATTAAAAAGGGGAAACATATTAAACATAAAACATGACGATGTTTATAACGACATCTTAAAAAGTTCAACATTTTATAAATCATTGCTAGAAAATGATGAAAATGGTCCATTAAAGAAACAGAATGTTTCATTAACACCAGGTACAATAATGAGATGGGATAACTTAGAAACTATTTCGTTTAAACATTCAATTAAAAGTCGCGGAAATTTGCCATCCTTTAACTCGAAGAAAGAAATAAAAGTTAAAAAGTCGGTATGTTGTCATCAGAATAACTCAAAAGTAACAACATACTATACGCAATCGCCAAAAAACCGCGGAATGTTACTGTTGATTAATAACATTGACTTTAGAGACAAAGAAAGAAAAAGAAGGGGCGCTATCGTTGATCAAGAGAATATTGTAAAACTTTTTACACAACTCGGATTCGATATTGTTGAAGAAAAAAATAAAACCAAATCAGAAATGGAGGAAATCGTAAAATCGTTCGCAACTAATCAAAATTTGGAAAAATACGACATGTGTGTTACTATTGTTATGAGTCATGGTGGAAAAATAAATGGAGAAACCGTGATTGAAAGTATTAATGAAGAAAATTTAAGTACCAAATGGATTGTAGAACAATTTTATGGGGATAATTGTAAAGGGATGATTGATAAACCGAAAATTTTTATTTTTCAATGTTGCAGGTAAGTTTTAATGTAAGGTCTTGTGCGCGTCTTCTCCAACCTCGGACACCCATCGTTCGAAAATCCTCCTCGACGTCATCTTGAGGCCCTCTCTTTTTTGGAGGTATACTTTCTTTCAACACTTTTAACACCCCCCCACTAGTGTATATTGAGAAAAGGAGCGGGGAGAGAACCGATGCCTGTGGAACACCCGTTGATACCGTCATTGTCTTCGACACCCGATCATCCACACTCACACGCTGAACCCTATTATCCAAAAAACTCCCCAATAAATTAACTGCTTTGCACTTTAACCCCATATGGTGCAGTTTGGACAGCAAGATTTTATGGTTCAAAGTGTCGAAGGCCTTCGAGTAATCAAGCAGCTATCCATCGCTCACACAATGTCATCCACAACGTCAACCAGCGCGGTCGTGCAACTGAAACCAGACTGAAAACCAGATTGTCGGTCCGGAAGAATGCTGTTGTTTACAATATATTTGCTAAGTTGTTCAAATAAAATCTTCTCCATGACCTTTGAGAGAACCGGCAATATGCTTATTGGTCTTAAGTCAGACAACCTTTGAGGATTATTAATTGTAGGGAGAGGATTTAGCAACGATATCTTCCACGCAGCCGGGAAAGAACTAGTTTCTATGACATGATTTACAATATGCCTAACATATGGCATAATATGGGGGAAACATAATTTAATATATTTTATATTTAAGCTGTCATAGCCCATAGCATTACTGTTTATTGCGTTAATAGTTTCCTCAACATTGGTTTCAGCAAATTCATAAAACCTGGCTATATAGTGTATTATTAAGATAATAATTGTATTATTATATAGCCACACCGACAAAGTGCGCATCGTTTAGATTTTGAAGGTGCCCCGGTACTAAAATTTGCTTCTTATTAAACAAACCTGCCTTTCTCAATGCTGTCCATTTATTATTCGCGCTGTTATTTTGAAGTTCTAGATATACTCTGCGCTCTATACGGATAGCTTCCGTAACTATTCGTCTCATTGTTTTATAGAAGGTCCATTTCTGCGGTAGCTTTGTTGCCTCAAATTCCCGATATGCCCTGTTCCGAATTTTTTGCATAGATTTGATAGTATCAGTGATCCATGGCGACTGAGGTCTAACAAAACTGCAGGTTTTCAGTGGGCAATGAACCTCCAAAACACTACATAGAGCGTTATTGAAAAAATTTACCTTGGAGACCCCGTCGGGCATATCAAACATGTGAAAAGGTGGTATTCTATACAGATCATCAGTGGGGGCGAATGGCCCCGTGGTAAGCTCTCGGGCTACCACGCCGGCGTCCTGGGTTCGATTCCCAGTGAATACACGCCGAGTCGCCTCCCCGTCCTTCGGAAGGGACGTTAAGCCGTCGGTCCCGGCAACCAGTCTAACATCTCTGGTTGTCGTGCGCGTCTGCGCTCTTTGAGCGGTACTCAGCCATGCACCCAAGTTTCTGGGCGTTGGAGTACCAGCCCGGCTTGGGGGTCGTCTTCAAATTGCTGGGCCTTGGAGTACCAGCCCGGCTGAAGGCTAGGCGAGAAGCGGTATCAGCCTGATCGGATGCCATCTTCGAACATCTTTCACTCCTCCAAATAGACCTACACATGGCCGAAGTAAACCGTGAGGATGTACAAAGGGACCGTTGGGGCCCAAGTGCTTTGGTTATACATACCACCTGTGGTTTAACCAACCTCACATGAAACTACATACATACAGATCATCAACGAAGTGATCGTTTATAATCCGAGGCGGATGTGTTGGGGTTTTAAATTTTACATTGCAGTATATTATATCATGATCTGACATACTTCCCCCGTCTGCGACGCCTACCTCACTGACCATGCTGCGGTCAGATACCAGTATCAGATCAATCAAAGTAGACGATGATTGGGTTACTCGTGTTGGTCCCTCAATGACTTGATACAAGCCCGTAGAATCAAGCAAATCTTGTAGCGCTAGGGACTTACGGGTACCCACGGTCAACATGTCGATATTAAAATCTCCAAGAATCACCACCTTGTCCACCGTAGGCAATATAATCGAAAGCGCGTCCTCTAATTCATTGAGGAACAAATTATAATTGACTGACGGGGGTCTGTACACAACCGCCAAGGCAAGACTCAACCCGTCCAGTCGTATCTTGACCCACAGCTGCTCTATTGCATCAACTAACATTAGTCCAAGAACTAGAAACATTCGGGTTTAGCAGCACGTCTCTCAAGATGGCTAAACCCGAATGATTCTAGTACTAGATCTTATGTTAGTTCTAGTGATAGTGTAAAATTAGAACCAACACTAGACTTGTAACTACAAACATTCAGGTTTAGCCGCACGTCTCTCAAGACGGCTAAACCCGAGTGAGTTTAGTTCTAAGTCTTGTGTTAGTTCTAGTGATAGTGCTAGTGTAACACTAGAACTAACACTAGACTTAGAACTAGAAACATTCGCGTTTAGCCGCACGTCTTTCAAGACGGCTAATCCCGAATGATTCTAGTTCTAGGTCTTGTGTTAGTGCTAGTGATAGTGTTAGAGCAAAAGTATAACTAGACCTAGAACTAGAAAATATCGGGTTTAGCCGCAGGTCTCTCAAGACGGCTAAACCCGAATAATTCTAGTTCTAGGTCTTGTGTTAGTTCTAGTAATAGTGTTAGAGTAAAACTAGAACTAAAGCTAGACCTAGAACTAGAAAATATCGGGTTTGAAAATATGAAGCAGGTTTCTCAAGACAGCTAAACCCGAATGATTCTAGTGCTAGGTCTTATCTTACTTCTAGTGATAGTGTAAAATTAGAACTAACACTAGACTTAGAACTAGAAACATTCGGGTTTCTCAAGATGGCTAAACCCGAATGATTCTAGTGCTAGGTCTTATCTTACTTCTAGTGATAGTGTAAAATTAGAACTAACACTAGACTTAGAACTAGAAACATTCGGGTTTAGCCGCACGTCTCACAAGACGGCTTAACCCGAATGATTCTAGTTCTAGGTCTTGTGTTAGTTCTAGTAATTTACATTACATTACATAGAATACATATCGGGTAGGCGGACCAACCAACCTTACACCGCGACCCTAAGGATCTATTGTACCCCGATAGATATCGTTAAAAATCGAGAATCTGATACGGTTAACGGCAGGGCAGTGGCATAAAACATGCTCAACCGTCTCTGCTTCCTCCTCACATAGTCGGCATTCAACATCGTCGGCTAAACCCAACAAGTTGAGGTGTGCTTTTAATCGGCAGTGCCCAGTAAAAACACCCATTAGAACTTTTATGCTACTACGGGCAAGTCCTAAAATATTCCCGGGTTTGACAGTGGCGATGTTAATAAACACCTTAGCATGTCTCATTCCAGGAGAACTGGTCCACAGTAGGCGAAGTCTCTCTTCAGCCCACAGTCCAATCCTATATTTGGCCATCGCAAATGATACACCAACTGCTGGTTCCGGTCCCACAAACGCTTCAGCGCTGCCATCTCGTGCTAGCTTATCTGCCGCTTCATTGCCAGCAACCCCAGAGTGACCCGGGACCCAGATCAGAGAGACTCTGTTATCACAACTCAGTGTGTTTAATGTTCTCTTACAATCATTAACCAGAGCCGACACCGTTTTCACGGCTTGCAGCGCCTGGAGAGCGGCTTGACTGTCTGAGAAAATTCGTACTGTCATGTTCTTCACCCCTCTTTCAAGAAGGATTTTAGCACCCATGTCAATAGCAAATACTTCCGCCTGGAATACAGTACAGTACGTACCCAGGCTGTAGGCTTGCTTAATTCGAGGTGTCTGGCAGTATACTCCTGCTCCTACCCCTTCAGGCGTTTTTGATCCATCTGTGTACAAGCAAATGTCTGCCCGAACCAGAGAATTTTCATTTTCGATCCAGGACTGCCGCTCAGGCAGTACAATCTGGTATCGAGCATTAATCACTGATAGTGATACCGCCAAATCTGACGGCATTGATAGCACAGTATCAGTGCTTATAATGTCTTCCGCAGCCCATTGGTAGGACATGTCGGAACAGTTTTGAGCATATTGCTTAAATCTGTAAATGGTTGTTCTAGCCACTTTCTCTATATGCAAATGCAGAGGAGATAGGCCAAGCAGAACCTCCATTGCTAGAGTTGGCGTTGTGCCTATCGCACCAGAGATTGCCAATCCAGCTACTCGTTGAATTCGTGAAAGTTTACTGATAACTGAAGTCTGTCGGACTTTCCTATACCAGGCTGCTGCTCCGTATGTGATCATAGGTCTAACCACAGTCACATAGAGCCAGTACAGTCTTTCAGGGGTAAGACCCCAATTTTTTCCACAAAGACTGCGACAAGTCCACAAGGATAGTCTAGCTTTGTGCAAAACTCCCTGCAAATGTCCATTCCATGACAGGGTTTTGTCTAGGATTACTCCTAGATATTTGACTTCCTTTGAGAAAGGAATTTCTTCACCTTGGATAGTTGGGCGGATTAGTCCATCCAACTTTCGCTTCCTGGTGAAGGGCACAACAATTGTCTTTTGCGGGTTTATTGAGAGGTTCTCTCCCTTACACCAAGCGCAAATGGTATCTAGGGTCACCTGGAGGACTTTAGATATCCTCGGCAAACAGGTTCCTTTGACCATAACGACAATGTCATCAGCATAAGCTTGTATTTCCACACCAACGGCTTCGACTATCGCAATCAGATCGTCAACTAGGAGGGACCAAAGCAGGGGAGATAACACCCCTCCCTGCGGGCAGCCACCTCCCGGCCTGAAGCGTATCGTATCACCGTGGAGTGAAGTAGAAACTATTCTACTATCTAGCATATTGCGGATCCAACCCGCTATAGTTGCTTCCACTCCCCTGTCAAGAGCAGCTCTTTCAAGAGATTGTGGTATTGCGTTGTTGAACGCTCCCTCTATATCCAGAAACGCACAAACCAAGATTTCTTTATCCTGCAGCGTCCTGGATACTCTACCAACTAAGTTGTGTAGAGCCAATTCTGCTGATTTTCCCGCTTGATAAGCATACTGGTGGCGACTCAGTGGACCAGATACCCGTTCCAGAACTTTTTCAAGGGTTTTCAGCAGAAATGACGTTAGGCTGATAGGTCGAAAGGCTAGTTCTAGTAATAGTGTTAGAGTAAAACTAGAACTAACACTGGACCTAGAACTAGAAACATTCGGGTTTAGCCATGCGTCTCTTAAGACGGCTAAACCTTAATGTTTCTAGTTCAAGGTCTAATGTTAGTTCTAGTGACAGTGGTAGCTAGCGCTAGTTAGCATAAGATATTTCTAATGACGTACGATATATTAAACGATATTGCTGGTAAATGTGTAAAATTTGAATAGTTTCCGAATTTTACTCGCTACGCTACGCCCTTAGTGAATAATAGCCCTTATTATATGCTCATATACTATTATCAAATAATGATTGTCTTGGTAATGTGTTATGAATAATTTTTTTAATAATAATAAAAATGTTCTGTTTTTTAGGAATCCTATTAAGACTGACGTTCAGAAGGATTCGCATAGGGACTCGCATTTAGTTCCACAGAACATTTTATATGTAGAGTAGGCTCAGGACTTAGATAATAATGATGCTTGGAGGTAGGATATAATTCATGTATTGTCCTTTACGCATTGTTTAATCTTTTGGTTGCTTGTTTTTCGGCGTTTACTTAAATGTTACTCTTAGGCGTGGATTTTTGTTCTTCATCTCTATCCTCTTCGAGATATCTAGAGACTTGTTCTTCGTGCTTTTCTTATTAAAACCTAGTATTTCAGCTGCGTTTTGCGTATTCAATCCAATTCTTTAGCGTTTGGAGAACGAGTTCAGCGTTCGAAGTGTCGTTTCACTTCTATGTCACACTGCCGCGAAACTTCCTTTAAGATCGGTTACTATTTCTGTATCATCTAGAAATTGAAAAAAATTCTGTTTTGATTTTCGCCATCGCAGTTTGGATATCGTGTACAAACATATTATATTGTTTGCCTTATCCCCTGACGTCATTCGCAGGAGATAAGGAAGAAAGTATAAATACGGATTGAATTTTTAATGAGCTAGTTTTTCTATGCACTTCTAGGGTTTTGTATCATGCCTAACTTTATGAAATAAGAATCTTAGTTGTAATTAACATGAGCTTTGTATTGATTTGAATTTACTTTACTTAATTTAAGTTTATTGACTTTGAACTTATAAATTTCATTTTTTTAAAACCGTCGTGTTAACCGGCGACAAAGTTAATTATATAGCAGAGGGGAAAGCGGAGGTCCTTGCGTACACTTTCTTTCATTCTTCTTAAGCTGGGTCTCCCATTTTCACTCGGAAATAAAGTACCTATTCCTCAGAAAAGAATCCGTCACTTAGACCAGCTTCCCTTTCAGGTTGCCCTCTCGACATCTAATGACACCACAATTATCTGATGTCTATATCAAGTTCGAATGTGTTAATAAAATTCGCTGCCTGGTGTATAACTCCTCTTGGTTTCCTGAATTTACATTAATTTTTTAGGAGTAGTAATCTACGACAACACAGTTCGCTGTGCATCTTTTCTCGGTTTTGGAATTGTTAGCAACATCGTTTTCCACAAATCTTGAAATGAACCCTTATCAATTAAAGTCATCGAGTCACCAATGTTATTCAAAAATAAAGTAAAAAATTATCTCATTGACTTGTTCTACAGCCTGCAGGAGTATCTCTCTGGCAGCCGAGTTGAATAACGAGTGTAGTGTTGTGTTACCTTTTTTTCATACTTAAAATTATCATTTTATATTTTTGTATTTATGTATGTGTTTACTTATCTACCTACTTTTATGATACTGTGACTGACTAGATAAATAAAATAAATAAATTAATTAAAATAAATTAATAGATGCCGATGTGAACTTGTGGCTTGTTAGATATCTATATTTTTGTAAACCATAGATGTAGAAATGTATATAACTTGTCTCCACCTACTATTGTAGCACTGAAATTAATAAAATATTATTAATCTGTTAATGACAGACTCAGTCACAGTCGTCGGACTGCCATCTGTTTCGTCTTCTGCACCCACTGTGCTTCCTTCGATGGGTTTGTTTATACTTGCCTTTGTTTGTTCCCCCGTTTCTGTTACTTCAGAATTAGTTAATTTCCAATTATGGACAATAAAAGTATTTTTTTCAGCCCTCTCTGTTTCCAGACTATTCCTTTTCTTGCTAAGTATCCACGAAAATGTGCTAAATGTCCGTTCTGTGGCCGCTGAAGATACTGGGGCTGATAAAATCCTAACAGCAACCTTACTCAGATTGGAGCTGCTACACAGGACCTCCCACCATCTAACTGGATTCATGTTTACTACACTTGTCCACAAGAATCTTTTTGCCCACAATCCATCATTTGATTTATAATTTGCCAAATTCGCTATTACATCCAAGTGTATTAAATGGGATAGGTTGTGTATAAACTCCATGCTTCCCTTAGAACAAGGATTCAGTAGTGCAGCGGCAAGATGAATCGGACTTGTAGCAAATTCCTTGCGATTAAATACCTTTTGAGTTATTGCATCTTCCTCTTCCTCAGATGTGCAAAAATTTGAAATGCTACGTATAATTTTTAGCTCTATTTCAGAGAGTATACTGTGCACTTTGTATCATCTGGTAAACGAGTTTTTATATCTTTATCCAACGACGCGACGTTGCCTTTTCGTGAACAACTAAAGTTTGAGGACTGAGTGTGTTGGATATTAAGCTTTCCATGCAGTAGAAATTTTAAGATATCGTTGCACATAAGATGAGGAGTATGAGCCATGCAACCCAGTCGTACGATATGAGGATAGTCGTCTTGTAGAAGCCTAAATGCCTTTTTCATATTAGCAGCATTGTCTCCGACAACTACAAGGAACTGTTCGGCGCCAAATTTATCAACAATCTTCTTTATTTCACTCTTAAGATATCCTGCTGTGTGTTTACGGGTTTTGATATCACAAAATTTATTATGCCCTCATTTCGTAAATTACTCCATCCATAACATTGCAAATGAAGAATTTCACCTTGTTTCAGTTGCTGATCAATTATTTCATATCCGCATATTCTGTATCCAAAAATGTTGTGGATAATTTCTTTCTGGTTGGCAAGGTATATGACGGTCTAAGCGTTTTAAAAAGTTTCTCCCACAGTGCGTGGGGTTTATCTATGGTTGGACCATAGATAAAGGAGAACCAGTTGCATATATGGCAAGAGCAGGCGTTTTATGCATTCTATACTGCTTATAAATTTTTATATCTTTTCTGGAGGGGGTGCCAATACAATGTCGTGCTCCGGGTGCCAGTTATGGAATATGTTTTCCAAGTTAATAGAGAACATTTTTTGCCCTAATCACTTTCTCCCATCTCTTTTTATTCTTGAGATATCATCAATTTTTATGTCAAAAACGTCATTTTTCGGAATATTCGGTTTTTAAGTAATTTAGGTTGGTATAATTGATCGATGGGATATAACTGTTTATGGAATATGTTTTCCAAGTTAATAAAGAACATTCTTTGCCCTAATCACTTTCTCCCATCTCGTTTTATTCTTGAGATATCATCAATTTTTATGTCAAAAACGTCATTTTTCGAAATATTCGGTTTTTAAGTAATTTAGGTTGGTATAACTGATCGATGGGATATAACTGTTTATGGAATATGTTTCCCAAGTTAATAAAGAACATTCTTTGCCCTAATCACTTTCGCCCATCTCTTTTTATTCTCGAGATATCGTCAATTTTTATGTCAAAAACGTCATGTTTCGGAATATTCGGTTTTTAAGTAAATTAGGGTGGTATAAGTGATCGATGGGATATAACTGTTTATGGAATATGTTTTCCAAGTTACTAAAGAACATTCTTTGTCCTAATCACTTTCTCCTATCTCTTTTTATTCTTGAGATATCATCAATTTTTTTTATTGGGGGTGCCAATACAATGTCGTGCCCCGGGCGCCAGTTATGTTCGCTACGCCACTGATCAAATCAAATGATTCGTAGTTATCTTAACAATAAAATGCAGTGTGTAGAGTGGAAAGGTCGAATTTCGGATGTTACTAATATTATATCTGCTGTCTCACAAGGATCAATTCTGGGCCCAATGCTCTTTATTATTTACATAAATCACTTTCTCCAATCTCGTTGGAGAAAGTTCAATTCCTATTAACATCTCAGCAGGTGGCATTTATATATATGCCGATGATACGTCTTTTGTGCTAACGTCGAAAGATAGAGTTGAACTTGAAAATAAGTCAGAAGTTGTTATAGCCGAAGCTGCGGAATGGTTTGGGGGCAACAGTTTGAAATTTAATGTCGAAAAGACGCAAGAACTACTGTTAGCAAGTAAAATTGAGGGACGGGAACAAGAACCTATTAAATTCCTGGGGATATATGTTATGTCAAACCTAAGCTGGAACTCTCATGTTGAATATCTTCAAAGATGCCTGGCTGTAGCAATATTTACTATCAGGCGCATACGGGCTATAGCTGGATATGAGGCTGCCAGACAAACCTACTTTGCCAACTTTCATAGTAGGGCGTCGTATGGAATACTGATTTGGGGGAATTCTCCGGCTGCCAAAGATATGTTCATGCAACAAAAGAAAGCATTACGGGTTTTAGCAGGTGAAAATAGTACTGCAAGCTGCAAATCACTTTTTCAGCAACATAATATTAGGGTGAGGGGGGCACATTGGGACGTTTGAAACATTTTCCAATGTGAAGTCTTTATTTTTGAATGAAATAACTTTATTTCTAGACAACACATGAATTAGGACATTGGCTTTGGGATGCAACGTCTATAAAAGGTAATTCGCTCATACAAATTTAATTGTTTATTTTTCAAAAACTTCATGCAAATGTCTCAATGTGCCCCCACTGTGGGTCAGAATGGGACATCCCTGGGGCACATGTGGACACACAAGTAAACTTCATAGGTAAAACTCCCTAACAAGTGAAGGTGCAGTTTTTATTGTTTCCAAATACAACAAAATATCGACAGAATATTAAACATATCGTTTCAAAATATATTAAAGGAACTTAAATCTATTGGAAATTTTTTTATAGAACCTGATCGACTTGTAGTGGTATTAATTTGCTTCGGTTTTGGGAATTTCACCTCGATTTGATGGAACTCTACCAAATCCTTGTCCACTACAGTTGGATATACAAATCCACTCCCCTTTTTTCTTAAAAAATTTAATTGATAATCGCTATCAATAATTTTTTCTACCTCACCCACATGAAATCTGATTGTTTTCTTTGTACAATACTTTGCTAGTACAAAGTCTCCAACTAATATGTTTGGTAACGTGGTTTCAGGGTCTAATAGAGGTAAAATCTGCTGCATAAATTCGTCATCTGATGCTTCTTTGCTAAATTCACTAATATTGTCTGACTCATTATCGTCATAAATCACAAGATCATCCGCTATATCACCGCTGTCTTCTACATTCTTTCTTTTACTTGACTTCTGGGTATTTTTTACTTCATCAAGCAATTTTTTCTTTCCTTTGGTTTTGTCTATTATTTTTTGTTCAAGACAGTTTTTCTCCGGGGTTTCTATAAGGATTTTAGATTTTCCTGGTTGTCTCCCTTTCTTCGTCGAATTTTTCCTTTGTGCCTTAGGAAACGGTCGGAAACTTTCAGGAGTGATTACCCCTTCTATCAAGCTAGAGCGGCTGCTTGTTGACGGCGTATTCGTTGAAGCCGAGCTAGAAACTTATGCTGAAGTGCTGGCTGTCATCGTAATGTTTCTTTCCATTTCATGATTGATTCTTCTTTTCAGTAACATATGCAGCCGCAAAATCATCTCTCGAAAAAATATTTCTGTTATATGGCATTACGCCACATTTTCTAAATCCAGAGCAAATATTATCCAAAGTAAATGCTTTATAATAGGCTTGACCGGTTAATTCTGCGATTTCGTAAATGGACACCCGTTTGCCGGGATGGGAAATAAGCCAATCGTTAAAAACAGATTTCAAGTAACTTTTAAAGGGTCCATATAGACACACATCGAGAGGTTGGAGACGATGTGTACAATGGGGTGGAAATGTCACAAATATTATACCATTGTCCCTACAAAAAACTATTGTCTCCAAACTGGTGTGCGATTCGTGGTTATCTAGTAATATGAGGATGCGATTTTCTTTGGAACATTTTGTAAATTTTGGAATGTGTTTCACCACTTCTAAAAATAAAGATGCCGTCATCTAACCGGATCCTGATTTGTTGGATAATCCTAAGCTACCATTAGGCGCACTTTTCATAAATACCGGCTTGTTTTTAGCCCTTGGAAAGACATACACTGGTGGTACTGTATTTCCGACGGCATTAATGATAGCACAAAAGGTTACCAGTTCTCCTCTCTCGGCTGAAACTACTTGCCCCACCTGCTTAGTTCCCGTCATAGCAATAACTTTTGGTGCCTGAAGGACTGTGGTGACCCCTGTTTCGTCAAGATTATACACATTTTCTGGTGTTATTTCATATTTTTCTAATGCAACTTGTAGATTATCGAAAAATTGTTTCACATTGGTTTCGTTAAATCCTGTTGCCCTGGCTAGACTGGTGTTTTCAGGTTTTCCTAAACTGAGATTGCTGAACCTTTTCATGAAAGATTTCATCCAGTCCAAACCCGCTCTCTTGTTCTTATCCCAGCTCGTTAGGTATTTTCTGTTAAGTTTTTGAGCAAACTCAAACGCTAGTATCTGAGCTTGCGAATACGTCAGCCCGTAATTTATTTTTGAACTTTGAATTAGATACTCGCACAATTGTTGTTCCTGGTTTGCTGTAAAAACTTGTTGGGTGCTATATTTCCACTGAAATGGCCAATGAAATAGGTCGTTTGAATCACTTTCTACTGTGACAAGATTTGTGGTCTCAGGCGGCAAGTTGTTATTTTTATTATTTTCCTCTCCTTCATCATCTTCAGTCGGTTGCGCAGCAAGAGACTCCCCTGTTTCCCCATCTCTGTTTTCTTCTCCTTTCCGCTTTTTGACTTTGTTCAACCTGTTGACTAAGGTAGATTTCTTGATATTATGTATTGCTGCAGCATTTCTTATCGATAACCTTCCATCAATAACATCTCTAACTGCAGCAACAATGTCTTCCTCAGATATGGAAGCACGATCTGTTTTTCTCTTGTACGTACGGACCATTTTTTATGTCCTGAGTCCTGAAACATTTTTTTCCTTAATTATATCAACAAATTTTATTAGGTGGGGGCACATTGGAACAGTCTCAATGTGCCCCTTACCTTTTGTCCCAAAGTGCTCCCACTGACTGTATTGAACATAAGATCATTTGCAAAATAATAGGTTAGGTCTATACAATAAATAAAACCATAAACATAAGTCTCAATATTGTGTGTTCTTAGTGATTAATTGATTTTAAACCATTTGCTTGAAATATAGAAAATATCCACTTACCAATTTTCATGCAACTTTTTACAGCAACTACCATAAAACACTTAAAATTGAATAAAAATTTCCGTACGTCACAAAACAGTGCGAAACGTTTGGAGAATTTGAAGCAAGGTATTGCCCTCTGGTACACTTTATTAAAAGTAAAAACAGCAAGTAATGGCGCCATAATTTAAAATGTCCCATTGCGCCCCATGTCCCAATGTACCCCCCTTTCCCCTACTTACCTTATCTTCTATCTTTATCCTAAGGAGTTTTCTTTACGTGCATTCCTCTAAATCCTCATTTCTGAAAACTTCTGATATTCATATTTACGAAACCCGTCATAAATCACATTATCAGATTCCCTATCACCGTATAAATACCTCACAAATACCACTAATCACTTAGCCGTGAAATTATATAATAAATGCCCTTTGCCAATAAAAAATATGACTAATTACCGCTTCGAAAAAGTTATACGGCGTATCCTGATGGCTGACGCTTTCTATAATGTGGAGGAGTTTCTTCAACTACCTTCGGAGATGGAGTCTTATATTTAGTTTTGTAAATTGTATAATTTTCTTTTCTATTTATATACATTGCTTTTGTTGTGTATATATTTATATTTTTTTCTTTTTTTCTCTTGACGGTGCTTTATCTGTTTTATACTTTCTTTTATTACTTGTAAAACATTTGAAAGCTCAATAAATGTTATTATTATGATTATTATCAAGTGGAATTTGATGATTCATGTAATTAAGAGACATATCGACCAGTTACAACGATATCTGTTTGGAACATACTCCTAACGAAAGATAAGAAACCGCCAGATAATTCTAAGGTATTGGTTTAACCATCGTTGTCGCTTTCATTGATTAAATTAAATGATCAAAAGAGTCTCAAATGAATCAAATGAAACAAATTAACATTAAATACTTCTCAAGATAAAACTAAATAATTTTGAAATATTTTTATTACTAACAAACTATTGAAATATAGGATACAAAATAAATTTTCTTGGAATTTTGATAACGTCGTATTCGCCGAAATATTTTTCGCGAATATAGAATCTTTTATCGATTCCCAGATACCGCTCATTGATAAATAAATTCCTCTATTTAATTGAAATGTTATGTATACTTATAGTTTTGAAAGAATTTTGATAATCTCGCATTGTAATGTTATTTGTCATTTCGACCAGTTTATTTCTGCGTTTAAAACGATTCGGTACAATTTTTCCATTTATTAAATTATGACGAAGAAAATGAAGCACGATCAAGACGAGTAAGTCAGAATTAAATTTAAAATCTTTGAAATACGCTTATATTGTTTGTTTTGTCCCCATAATGTTATTTAATAGAGATTTAATAATCGCAACAGATGATATCCGAGTTACAACGGTAAAGAAAACATATTATTTTCAAGATATAATAAATCTATGTAATGTTAATGAGTTACCAAACTTTATTACTTTTTCACTAAATTGTTTAAAATATTGTAACATACACCTGAATATTTCACCCAGTAAAGGATTATTATCTCATCAATATAAATCAATGAGGAAGAACATCTTCAAAGTAATAGAAAATAATAGTAACGAGGATATTTTAAAGGAAGACTCTCAAGATCTATCAGAAGCAGATGGTGATTTTTATAAGGACATCTTAATAAATTCTACATTCTTTAAAACATTGCTAAAAAAACGTAAAAATTATCCATTAGAGACGCAAAATGTTACGTCAATAACGGGTAGAATAATGAGATGGGACGATTTAGAAACTCCAGCTAAGTTCACACAACCAGTTAAAAATCAGGGAAAATTGCTATTTAACAACGAACCATTATCTCCTCAACATCAATCGCTGGCGAAGAACGTGTTAGAAATAAAAGTTAAAAAGACGGGATGTTATCGAAATAACTCAAAAGTACTTACATACTATACACAATCGCCAAAAAATCGCGGAATCTTGCTTTTGGTTAATAACATTGACTTTAGAGAGAAAAAAAGGATAAGAAATGGCGCTATCGTTGATCAAGCGAATATTGTAGAACTTTTTACACAACTCGGTTTCGTTATTGTTCAAGAAAAAAATAAAACGAAATCAGAAATGGAAAAAATCGTACAATCGTTCGCTTCTAATCCAGATTTATATAAATACGATATGTGTATCACTATTGTTATGAGTCATGGTGGAAAAATAAATGGTCAAACTGTGATCGAAAGTATTGATGAAAAAAATTTAAGTGCCAAATGGATTATAGAACAATTTTATGGATATAATTGTAAAGGGATGATGGATAAACCGAAAATTTTTATTTTTCAATGCTGTAGGTAAGTAGTTTAAATCACAAAAATAAAGATTAATTAAAATCTACTCTAAATTCTATTATTATATTCTATTATAATGAATCAATCGATTTACATCAAATATTACCACATCAATTACGGTAGTAAATTCTTAAATTAATAATCATCATGATATGATACATATGTTAAATTGAAGCTTAAAGATTCTAGTTTATGATATTGAAAAAAATTACAAGATAATATTATTGAAATTTTACAAGAAAAACTTATTAAAGAAGAAAGTGTCAAATTTACAAATCAAAAATTATAAAATTTTTCAAAAAATCGTTTATCGGTTGTTTTTTTAAGAATTATGACATGATATGTGCGTTAAATTGTAACTTAAAGATTCTAATTTATGATGGGATATAAAAACTATAGGATAATATCATTGAAATTTCCACGAATAAATGATTGAAGGAGAAATTGTCAAATTTATATATCTAGAATACGACGAAATTTCCAAAAAAATCGTATCAACCTTATTTCTAAAAATTATGATATGGTGTGCATGTTAAATTGTAGCTTAAAGATTCTAATTTATGATATGATATAAAGTCTACAAGATAATATTATTGAAATTTCCAAATATAAATTATTAAAAGAGAAATTGTCAAATTTATAAATCAAAGTAATTCGAAATTTATCATATATCATATCTACCTTATTTTTAAGGATTATGATATGGTATGCATGTTAAATTGAAGCTTCAAGATTCCAGTTTATGATGTGATATGAAATCTACAAAATAATATCATTGAAATTTCTAAGAATAAATTATTATAGGAGAAATTGTCAAATTTATAAATCAAAGTAATACGAAATTTATCATATATCATATCAACCTTATTTTTAAGGATTATGATATGGTATGCATGTTAAATTGAAGCTTCAAGATTCAACTTTATGATATGATATAAAATCTACAAGATAATATTATTGAAATTTACAAATATAAATTATTTAAAGAGAAATTGTCAAATTTATAAATCAAAGTAATTCGAAATTTATCATATATCATATCAACCTCATTTTTAAACATTATGATATGGTATGCATGTTAAATTGTAGCTTAAAGATTCTAATTTATGATATGATATAAAATCTACAAGATAATATTATTGAAATTTCCAAAAATAAATTATTAAAAGAGAAATTGTCAAATTTATAAATAAAAGTAATTCGAAATTTATCATATATCATATTAACCTTATTTTTAAGGATTATGATATGGTATGCATGTTAAATTGAAGCTTAAAGATTCAACTTTATGATATGATATAAAGTCTACAAGATAATATTATTGAAATTTCCAAAAATAAATTATTAAAAGAGAAATTGTCAAATTTATAAATCAAAGTAATTCGAAATTTATCATATATCATATCAACCTTATTTTTAAGGATTATGATATGGTATGCATGTTAAATTGAAGCTTAAAGATTCAACTTTATGATATGATATAAAGTCTACAAGATAATATTATTGAAATTTCCAAAAATAAATTATTAAAAGAGAAATTGTCAAATTTATAAATCAAAGTAATTCGAAATTTATCATATATCATATCACTCTTATTTTTAAAAGATTATGATATGGTATACATGTTAAATTGAAGCTTAAAGATTCAAGTTTATGATATGAGATAAAATCTACAAAATAGTATTATTGGAATTTCCAAGAATAAATTATTAAAGGAGAAATTGTCAAATTTATAAATCAAAGTAATACGATATTTATCATATATCATATCTACTTTATTTATAAGGATTATGATATGGTATGCATGTTAAATTGAAGCTTAAAGATTCAAATTGATGATATGATATGAAATCTACAAGATATTATTGAAATTTCCAAAAATAAATTATTAAAAGAGAAATTGTCAAATTTATAAATCAAAGTAATTCGAAATTTATCATGTATCATATCTACTTTATTTTTAAGGATTATGATATGGTATGCATGTTAAATTGAAGCTTAAAGATTCCAGTTTGTGATATGATATAAAGTCTACAAAATAATATTATTGAAATTTCCAAGAATAAATTATTAAAAGAGAAACTGTAAAATTTATAAATCAAAGTAATTCGAAATTTATCATGTATTAAAATATATATTGTTTTTAGGAATCCTATCAACGTCGACAAGGATTCATACAACGAGTCCTATTCAGTTCAACGACGACGAGAAATAGAAGACATATTAATATGTTATAGTACTATAGAGGGTAAGCAAATGGAAAAATATTTTTCTTCACAAAAAAAAACACTATTTTCTTTATAGATTTTAGTGCTTATCGAGATCCAAGATTAGGTTCATGGTACATCACAGATCTATGTCAAGTATTTATGGATCATGCCCATGACACCGACATAGAGCGTCTTTTAAAAATGGTCGATCAGAAATTACGTGATCGAAATCACAAAGATATTTGGCAAACCAGCAACTATGAAAGCTTAGGTTTTAAACTTTGCTATTTAAATCCTTGTTGATTTTTATTTCTTCATATTAATTTATTTTTCTTTTTTATTTTAATAAATAAATTATTATATTTTTACAATAAATAATATTATTATTATGTTAATAATAATTCTGAAATAGTCTTCAGCCTATATGAGCTCTAGTTTCGCAGGCTAATGTCCTCGGTGCTGTATGTTGCAACCATACCATTTGCACTTACGCTATCACCGCACACATTAACCCCCAAGTTGCTTCTTTGCGCCTCCAAAACCACTTGCAGAAATGAGCAAATGGGCAAAACTTTGGCTAATTAAAGGAAATTGCAAAATGTCTGTGCAGGTACCTTTACATTAAATAACGGTCTGATACTTGCTTCTTTACACATAAATCTTAACGGGATACACTCCGATTTTGCTTTGGTTCGCGAAGACAATTATCATCCAGCATTGTTGGGAATTCTAAATATATCGGCACCTCAGTTGCTTACGGTTCGAAATATATAGGAAAATATATAGGAAATATATATATAATAACCGCACGGGAATTGTTTAAACGAACTGTTTTTCGTCCAATAGCAATTCAACAAAAGCTTAGGGAAACGCCTTTGGAGATCGTAAATCACACTCAGGCAATCGATCCCATCCCCGGCCGGTCCACCGTGCCCTTCTAAACCAGTTTCGCACGTGTACTCACCAATAGATTCGACACGGAAAGAGAAATAAATTTTTTTCGTGATTCACGGAAAATTGCTATTGGACAACTTTAATCAGTTTCGGTTATTATAAATATTTCGGAAAAATGTTATTAGAAAGATCGTTTCAGAATAATGTATCCTACAACCGTATGATGCTCTGATGCAGAAGATACGGGACGCCCTGTATACCGAAACGGCCAGTATTGCTTGAAAAGAGCTAACCTGCCCGACTTATACAATGCAGTTTTGAGTATTGACTGGAATTATCTGCTGTCTTTGTCATCAGTTGAAGTATCCTGTGATGTTTTCTATACAACATTATATAATGTCCTGGACACGTATGTGCCATCATCGGAAAACACATGAAGTCTAAATATCCTCTATGGTACTCGACTAATCTAAAGCGAATGCTTAAGCTAAAGAAACACTACCATAAATTGTCTAAACGAACCAATTACTCTTTTTATCGAGCAAGTCCGTTTCCGCCGGAACTGTAAAAAACATATGTGAAAGGATCGCCGGGAATATGTAAGGTCCTTGAAACAGAACATGAAGAACGACCCAAAGAGTTCTTGGAGATCTGTTAATGTTACCAGAAACAGTACCGTCTCACCAAATATTCTCAAACGCGTATGTATGGCCGTATATGTTGACCGATCATTTTGAAAGTATGTATCTTCCGGCTCCAGATGACAATGTTAATAGTGCCCATGTTGGCAACGACTGGGATGGTGTCTCTTTCGGCATCTCTGAAGTGAGTCATGATGAGATTGAGGAAACTTTTAAAAAATTTAAGCCAAAACCTACGACAGGTCTAGACGGTATCCCCGCATATACAGGATGTCCCGTATCTTCCGCATCAGAGCATTATAATGTTGTAGGATACATTATTCTGAAGCGATCTTTCTAATAAATTTTTTTCGAAATGTTTATAATAACCGCACGGGAACTGTTTTTCGACGGCTAATGGCAAATCGTAAATCAGATTCAGGTAATCAGTCCAACCCCCGGCCGGACCGCCGCGCCGATCAAAACACGTTTCTCACGTGTACTTACCAATAGATTTGTCACGCTACGAGAAATAAACTTCTTGCGTGAATCAAAATCGTCTGTTATTGGACAAAAGCAGAGAATTTTAAACAGTACCCGTGCGGTTATTATAAACATTTCGAAAAAAATTTATTAGAAAGATCGCTTCAGAATAATGTATCCTACAACCGTATAACGCTCTGATGCGAAAGATACGGGACACTCTGTATAGTCAAAGACCGTGCTCCTGCATTATTACAGCCTTTGCAGCATATTTTCAATTTAATAATCAAGAATGCTGAGTTCCCGATGATCTGGAAGTTGAGCAGGGTTTGTCCTGTTTTTAAAAAAGATGATAAATGCTGCGTAACAAATTTTATATAGCCATTATAAATAACTTTTCAAAGCATTTCGAGCAAATCGTGACACGGAAAATCGAATTTTACACTAAAGCCCGTATGTCTGACTAGTAACATGGGTTTTGCAAAGGCAAATCCACAGCCACCAACCTAGTAAGCTTTAGTCAGTACGTATCGAATGGACTAGATTGTCGAGGGCCGGTAGATGTGATATATACTGACTTTTCACGGGCTTTTGATTGCTTGGACCATGGTTTGTCCTTTAATGAACATATCGACAGAACATCGGCTGGTGCCTTTAGAACACCAGGGTTTATCACAAGAAATAGTTTGGAGTTGACTGATTTAAAAACAATAATAGATCTTTATTCTACGCTAGTGCGTAGCAAACTTGAATATTGCTGCATTGTGTGGACCCCGTCTTGTTTGACGCACATTACCACCATCGAGAAAGCACAAAGAAAATTCGTTAGGATTATCCACTACCTCGATTTTGACTATTATCTACCTAGAGAAGAATTGAACTATGACGTCTACTACGACGTTATGGCCTCCAGAGTCTTGAAGGTTGGAGAAGAGTGCTATCTGCTGGGTTTATACGGGATGTGATGTCGGGGGTGCTGGTTGCATCGGAAGTCTCATCCATCAGTGCGCGTATTTGTAGCACCTTTATGCCGAATCGTGCTAACACGAATGTAGATCTAAATTCCCCGATAAACAGACTAATGCGTGCAGGTAATTCAGTCGAGTGACACTTTTTCTTTTTCATTTTTTTCTGTTTTGTTTGGTTGTTTTTTTTGTTTCTATTTTTGTTGGAATTATCTGTTTATTGTAACATTATCTCTTTATTGGATTGTAATTCGTTTGGATAATAAAGATAATACATATTATATTATTATATTATAAACCTTTATTTGAAAAACTAGAACTAAGCTAGAAATAGAAAGTATCGGGTTTAGCCGTGTAAAGACGCAATCAATTGTTTCTAGTTCTAGATCTAGTGTCTCAGTTCTAGTTTTACACTAGCACTGTTACTATGTAGAACTAACACTATACCTAGAACTAGAATCATTTGGGTTTAGCCGCACGTTTATAAAGACGGCTAAATCCGAATTAGTTTTAGTTTTACACTTACACTGTCACTAGAACTAACCTGTGTGTGATCCTATATTTGAAATACGAATATCACGTGGTATAGAATTTTTGGTTTTCCTTCGTTTGTTCGTTACAGTACATTCTCTCATTACATGTTATTTTCTTCGAATTCTTGCCACTTTTCGTTTTATATGTCATTAGCCCAAGTGCAACATTGCGCCGAACTTCTAGCAAAGGGTTTTTTTCAAAAAGTTGATAATGAACCACGTATACATTTACTAAAACAATATCTATTAGTCCCCAATAATTTTATGCCAGACGTTGTCGTAATCCTTTACAACGCTAGAGAGGAACTTCCACTGAAGAACCATCATTTTGCTTTCTTGAAACGCGATTTTCGGTATTACTATATTTATTGTTACTATATTCTGTGAACTGAATCTGTAATCATAATCACCTCAGGTCATTTGCTTATCAGATACTAAATTATTTGGAATAAATTTCTTGTTTGCTCTTATAGTTCCACACGCAAATGTATTTTCTGCTTTTAGTTTCTTTACAGGAGGCACAGAAGAAAAATATTATCGAAGTAGATCACTCTTTTTTGCCCCATTTCTTTTTGGTTAGAGATAACACCACCTTTTCTCCTAACCCATAGTCCTTCCATTCTTCATTCGTAGCTCCATTTTTCCCTTGATACACATCGAATTGGAAAATATAACTTTTCTGGTCAACAAGTGCCCATACCTTATAACCTCTTTTGTTGTTTAATCGATCTTATTGCTTAATCGATGATCGACCTCTGAATGGTATCATTATCTACGAATAATTCCCTCGTACCGAAATATAACGTTTGAAAGATTACATTTAGTTTTGGAACAAAAGGTCGAAGTTTGAACAATTAATCGGTATTAGTAGGAGTCAGATTGTGCTTATTGTTGCTATGGAAATTTGATGAAATCTTATTAAATCTATCCTGGGACATAGTGTTTGTGATCAAGGGAATTCCTAGATCATTGCTAAATGACCAATAGTGCTTCCAAGAAGGTAACTTATGATAACCCATGAACTGATTTATACCAATAAATGCATAAAAATTTTCTTTTGTAACGTTAAGAATTCTGTTTCAAATCTAAATAATCTTTTTACAGGCAAATAATAATGTACTTTTCAGTACCGTCAAGCCAAATGGTATTTTTAAACTTGGTGTCCAAATATTACGTGTTTAAATAATGTGGTACTTTTGTGTACCGTCAGGCAACAAAGTGTTAAATAGGGCTAGTCCATCTAATTGTTTCAGGCTGTGTCAGATCTGAAAAAGATCTGGTACTCAACCTTGTATATGTACGCATAGTTCACTACACGTCAGTTTGCTCTGTATAAGCCGTATCAGTTTTGCTGGGATATTAAAAAATCTTTTAGCGCAGCAATTGCGTTTTGAATCTCACTGATGGATAGAAGTTCCATGGCAGTCTCATTTCTTTGGTGTGATGGACTGTTGTCCATTTCTAAATCAGTTACTAGTAACCATGTGTGACGCAGCGAACATCTTAAGAATAAAAAGGCTCCTGGACCGGATCAAATCACGTCAGAAAGTGTCAAAGATACCATATATGCAGATTCAAAGAAAGTCACTGAAATGAGCAGGGAATTTTTCCTGACATACGGAAAACAGGAAAGTTGGTATTAATTGAAAAACCAAAAAACCACGGAGGAACAGCTTACAGACCCCTATGTTTGATAGACTGCTTTGGAAATTGTATGAAGTTATCCTGAAAGAAAGGATATTGGAAGAACTGATAGAAAAACAAGGAATCTCTGTCAATCAATATAGTTTTAGAAAAGGAAAATCGACAGTACATGCAATTGAACAAGTTTTGAATGCAGCGAGAAATACAGATAGATACAGGAGGGAGAAAAGGAAATTATGTTGCTTAATAACATTTGATGTTAAAAATGCTTTTGGCTCTGCTTCATGGGAGCAGAGAGTTAGATGTATGGAAGAGAAAAAAGTATCCATACAGTTAATTAACTGTATTAAAGACTACCTTAGGGAGTGGTATGTTGTATGTAATAATGCCAGTTTCCCGATGACAAGGGGTGTCCTCGGGGTTTTGTTTTGGGAGCACTACTTTGGAATTTTTTTTTTGATCAAATTTTAACTGATATGAAAATACAAGAAGTAAAGTTAGTGGCATATGCAGATGACTTGGCCATTGTAATTTCTGGTTGGAATAAAGAGAGCATTATTAACATTGCACAGCGTGTTATTAAAGAAATTGTGGATAAATTAGAGTTTATGGGTTTAAAGCTGAATGAAAAGTAGGAAAAATAGAGGAGAGATTGAAATTAATGTAGCAGGACATGTTGTGAAATCTAGTAGCTCACTGAAATACCTGGGTGTAATGATTGGTAAAGACCTGAAGTGGGAAGCTCATGTGGAATATATATACTTAAAGGCACAGAAAACAATGCAAGTACTTCACAGAATAATGGGATCCACATACGGCCCGGGGGTGGAAAAAAGGAGAGTAATAGGATCGGTGATATGATCGCAAGTACTTTATGCCTGTAGAAGTTGGAGAGACGCCATGAATGTAAAAAAACTAACAAGATTACAAAGGCTATTGGTAATCAAAATTATTAGTGCTTATAGGACTATATCTAGTGAGGCTCATCTAACTATAGGGGGAGATCATTACCAGTAGATTTATTAGTTTGGAAAAGATGTCAAGATATGGATATTTTAGAAAACCTACATAAATTAATAAATGAGAGGAGGAATAGATGGACTATAAATACTGGCAAGATGGACAAAACGTATTCTGCCAGACATTATGCCGTGGTTGTTTAGAAAATGGGGTGAAGTTAATTATTTTTGGACTCACTTATTAAGAAGACATACTGGACATGGTTGTTATAGAGCTCATCTTCATAAGCATAAAAAGGCTGAGAATGATACATGTCTACACTGTGAAGAAGCTGATAACGTGAAACATAGAGAAAAGAGAAGAAACATATAGGAAAATTGGTATGTCACTTACACCGGGAAATGTAATAACTACAATATCAAATATTGTCTGTTTGCAGATTTTCCCAAACCTCGTTAAAAAAAAAAAGGGTCTACGAGTGTGTGGCGCCTATCCGTAGTAAGCCACACCAGCGTACGCTACTACGCCAACGGTGGCGCAATTGAGTTGACTCATTTTAAAGTTGAGTATCAGCGCACGTAACACACTGTACTGAGTTAATTCAATTGCGCCGCGCAGCGCAGTGTTACACATCTCTAGTTACTACACAGAAATGTTAGTTATTTCACACTACCACTTATTATTTTTCCTGTTTCATCTCTGCATAGCTATCTCTCTCCATATTCAATATTTGGTTCTTCTGATACTTTAACTTCCTTCGTTTGCAGATTATGTCTAATTATTCTTCTTACTTCCTTGAATAATTCCTTCCTTTGTCGAGTAAATTAGTTGCCATAATTTTTTTATGTTCTTCATTTCTGCTTACAATATTATCAGCACAGTCGTTATCAAAAAATTTAGCCCTTTTGGCTCTTCAACTATTTCCTCCTTAATCTGCATTGTGTTTTCGCAGTTTCCATTTTCAATGTCCAGGTTTCTATGTTTGTGTCTTTGTTCGGTTAATTTTACACCTAAACTTTACTAGCACCAAGTGATGACCCGATCCGCAGCAGGCTCTTCTTCTTGCTTTCAAGCCTACGATAATTGAGGCAAATCTTTATCTATTAACACATGATCTATTTGGTTCTTGATGAGATCCGTCGGTTTATGTATATTCCAGTGTGAGAAGCATGTTGAGCTGATAACCATGTTCCTTCGTGCAGTTCCTGCTGCAAATCTAATCACAAATTCACAATTTTCGTTAGTTTCATGATGTAAGCCGTGTTTTCTTATGGTGCTCATATATTTAAACTCTTTTCCAATCTCATTCATGTCACTCATTTCTAGGATTCATATCGTACATCTAATCTACTTCTTGATAAAAAAGATGAGCACTATTGTCTATGTTAATCTCGGAATTATAAACATTTATCAATCATTTCCTGTATTTAATTGATTTATTAAAACTATTTTGATAATGGCAGCATATTTATTGCAATAAAATCGTAGATTTGGCTGCAGTTTATTTGAAACATTTCGATTCAATTTTCTAATTTCATAAACGAACAATGTTAAGCGAGGTGGAACAAGATAAGTAAGTTACAAAATAATTAATTTTAAAATATTCATAAACTTATGTTATTTAAGTGCATGTCTACCAATCGAAATAGAGGAGGCGCAAGGTGAAACACGAATCGATAATAATTACAATAGAAAATCAGAAATTTGTTTGCCATGCCAATCAGAGCCGGAGAACGAATTAAAAATAAATATTAAAAAGACGGGAATTTATTTTCATGGGTTGAACAGAAAATATCCAACTTATAACACACTATCGCCACATAATCGTGGAATGTTACTATTAATTACCAACATTGACTTTAAAAGTGGAGAAAAGACAAGAAACGGCGCTAACGTAGATCATGAGAATGTTAAAGAACTTTTTAAACAACTCGGTTTCTGCGTTGTGGAAGCCATAAATAGAACCAAATCAGAAATGGAAGAAATCGTGAAAGCGTTCGCTACTGATCCAGATTTACAAAAATACGACATATGTGCCACTATTGTTATGAGTCATGGTAGTACAAAAGCTGGAGAAACGATGATTGTAACAACTGATGGTGAAGATATAAGTACCAAATGGATTGTAGAACAATTTTATGAAGATAAGTGTAAAGGGATGGTTGGTAAACCGAAAATTTTCATTTTTCAGTGTTGTAGGTAAGTTTATAAAGTAATTTCTTAAAATGATTTTTAAATAATAAAACCCTATTCTAATCCTATTCTGATTTTAAGGAGTGCTAAAAGCGACGTACAAATTGACACATCTTTGGTTCCACGAAAAATAGAGGACATTCTGATATGTTATTGTACTGTACCAGGTAATTAATTTAAAAACCAACAAATTTCTAAAGTGAAACTTGAATTTTCTTTGTAGATTCTAATGCTTATCGACATACAGTCTCGGGTTCTTGGTACATCAATGACCTGTGTCAAGTATTTATGGAGCATGCCCATGACACCGACATAGAGCATCTTTTAAAATTGGTCGATGATAAACTACGTAATCGCAATGACAAAGATAGATGGCAAACCAGCGAGTATGAAAACTTAGGGTTTAAAGATTGCTATTTAAATCCTTGTTGATTTTTTACTTATTGACATTCATTTATTTTCCTTAAAAATTAATGATTTCTCATCAAAACTGTCTTATTTTATCTTATCATAAAATATTCAAAAAATACATATATCAAATTTGTGTAAATATCATAATATAATAAATTTGTTGTATTATTTACAAAAAATTACAAAGAGTCCATATCACCACATTTTTTTTGTTAATATACAGGTACATTATACATAGTTATGTAAATTAAAAAATAGTTCATTTTATAAGCTTTGTAATCAATAAAAATATTGTTGACAAATTTATGTTCTCAATCAAGTCCTGTCAAAAACAATAGATTTGTTATCTTTGTAGATTGGTACTTATCAAGATACAATTTCTAGTCCATGGAAATAAAATTAAGAGTTTTTATAAACTTAGTAATAAGAAAGCGAATAAGGTTATGGGGCAGGTTTTGGGATGGGAAGCTTGATTTGAGCAGGTTTGAGAGCTTGATAAAAAGCGTTATGATGTATGTTGTGGAGATATGGGAATGAGACTCCACGATTTTTTTTTAGATGTTTGTTTTTAGGTGTTTAGATGTGGCAATGAAGAAAGAGCCAATGGATATTGGATGGAGAATGATGAGAGGGGTGCAGGTTGTGTTGGGAGGGCTGGGAGTCTTTACATCATCTCCTGGTGGTGTGTAATGAGCTAAGTGTTTTAACACTTAGATCAACTAATAAACTAAATTGTAATTGTTTGAAATTTTAGTAATGTGGTATTTTTTTTTGTTTCACTTCTGACTCGTTGTTTTAAAACATTAGTTGATCTTTCAATATATTTTTTTCAATCAGATTAGGCTTTTTGATAATAATAGTTATTTTTGATACAAGATAGCGAAATGACACTTTTATATTTGAGAACGAAAGCTTCTTTCATTGTTCGAGAATGCAAAAGAATATCGCTATTGTATATCAAACAATATTTTTTTACAGCAAAGATAACTATTTTAATTGATAGTGTACGTGACTCACTGTATAAATTGTTTTTGTCCACGACTACCTTATAATATATACCTTATAGTTGAGTTTTCTAAAACAAAATGATAGTCATTTTTCACAGAGTGAATAATAGCGGTGAATAATGATCATTATCCACGGGTAATCACGGGTAACCAACTTGACAGACTAACAATAATTATTTGAAACATTAAAATTTCAAAAAACGTCAATTTAATTAAATTTTTTAGGAGTTTCTAAATGTTTGACATTAAAAAACCCTANAGTTACTCCTGATCACCCAAATGAGCTCACCAAATGTTGGGAGGACTTAGTTGTTAGTTTAAATTGTAGTGGCGGACCTCAGAAATCCTTAAATGAATGGAAGAGAGTAAATAATTATATAATATTCTGGAATAAGTGTGGAATAAGTGAAAAGCCAAGTCCGCAAAAGGTCAAAGATAATTAAAAACAGCTATACCGAGACAGGAAATAAAGGTGCACCAGAACGGGAACCTTTTTCCGAAATTGAAAAAAAACTATTATATCTGACATATTATAACTGAAATAGGAATAAATAATAATGAAAATATCGCAGTTGCTGTGGATCAAGAAAAAAATAAAGAGCAGCAAAAACTTTCAAACTCTTCAAAGAAAAAAAAAACTGATTCTTGAAGAACTACCCTTGAAGAAATAAATTAAAATCTTTAAAAATTAGTAGAGTTAAAAGAACAAGAGCTGCAGCTCATGAGGCTAAAGATGGAGCTAAAATATAATATAAACATAGAAGATGAAGACTAATTCTTGGTGTAATTTAATGTTAGTTTTTTGTGATATCAGTTATTTTTGAATGAATATTTTTATTTTAGTTTTTTTTGTGATATGGTTTTTTCTTAATGAATAGTTTTGTTTTATTTCTTTTTGATATCGTTCTTTTGAATAAATATTTTTGTTTTAGTTTTTTTAAATAAAAAATGTTCAAAGCTATTCCAACTAAATTTATTGAAAATAATTCCTAATCACATTATTTCTAATATTTACACCAACTTGATGTAGTTCATTATGCTCGTCATTATGTTGTACTTCATCTTCATTTTCATCAGGTGCTTCATTAGCAACATCTACATTTGCAATTTTAAGAATGTTATATAAAGTTGCACAAGCTATAGTTATTTTTGCTGCACTACTTGGGCTATAGTGTAACGTTCTGTCCTTTAAAAGGCACCTGAACGTTGCCTTCCAAACTCCGATGCATCTCTCAACACAATTTCTTGTCGAACATAAAGTTCTATTGTACTGTCCTTCAGGTGTACCTTCTACTGCATTCAACACAGGTCTCAGTAAGAAGGGCTGTAATGGATATCCTGAGTCCCCCAGCAACCAAGAACTCCTTTCTCCATTTCTGTAACGACTTGTTAGTTCCCTATAAATATTGCTCATTATCCATATTGCTGAATCGTGGACACTTCCCAGATATTTAGGACAAAGTGCCAATATTTTCAAATCTGAATCGCAAATTATTGGACAATTAATACTATAATAATTTTTACGATTCAAGAAAACTGCACGTGGTGAAAATCTACCAAATACTGGAGGTACAATTGCGATGTGAGTTCCATCTATAACTCCTATTACCCCAGGAAAATTAAACTTTTGGGAAAACCCATTCTTTATTGCAGTAATTTCCTCTAAAGTTGTTGGAAATTTAAGATATCTTCCAGAAAAATGGTGTAATATTACGTCAGTGATATTTTTTATGCATTTGCTGACAGATGACTGAGACATTGAGCAACATTTACATTGTAGCAGTGTAACGCTACAATAAATCGTAATGTTGTCGGTATTCTTGTAATTCTTGTACCGGCTTCAAGAAAAGGACTCAGCTCAAGAAAAAATTCATGGGCCAAATTTATTGGAAATCTATACAATTTCCGAAAAATGTCATCTGGCGTTTCTAATGGGTTGCTCACATCTCTCAGTCGTCGCATATACAATTTATTTTCGTTCCTAATATACATTAAAATTATGATATAATTAAATGTATAGGTAGTCTCACGTTTTTTACCTTCTTTCTGCATCCATCACCTCACAATATATCTTTGATCCGGAATAAAATAACTTGATTATTTCTGCTAATCACATAAACTATATACAAACGACTGCTATCTCGGTATCGTTACCTAACGACCAAACCTAACCTCAAAGTCTTTAGGCAACGATGTGGTTAGAAGTTACAAAATACGAATTGTCGTTCATAAACGACAAGCGACTCGTAACGACGTCGTTGAGAGTTATAAAATAGGCCTGTTAACCTTCGTGAATAATAGCCCTCATTATATGCTCATATAATAATATACTATTAATTGTGAATTAAAGTGAATCGTAGATATTATTATGATACCCATTCAAGGGCGTCGCCAGCCAGTGGGCCAAGAGGGGGCAGAACAAAAAAAAATGAAAAGAAAAAACAGACCAAATTATTTAAAACATAATTTTCGTGGCTTCTTAGCGAATTGGTCAACCAGATTATTAATAAAACCCTCAAAATTCTCAAAAATATGCTTCCTATACACACTCATCATGAGATGACCATTGAGACGACATTCCGCCATAGTGGTTTAAGCCAGCTTTTTATTCTCCTCAAGCTGCTAAAAGATCGTTCAACAGTATATGTCGTGCAGGGTAAAGTGATCAAAATTATAAAGGCTTTTCTCGTTTTAGGGTTTTTTCAATCATTTGGGTTTAGCCGCTCGTCATTAAAGACGGCTGAATGTTTCTAGTTCTAGGTATAGTGTTAGTTCTAGTTTTACACTAGTACTGTTACTAGAACTAACATTAGACCTAGAACTAGAATCATTTGGGTTTAGCCGCACGTCTCTAAAGACGGCTAAACCCAAATGATTCTAGTTCTAGGTATAGTGTTAGTTCTACATAGTAACAGTGCTAGTG